AATTTGGTGGTCAAATTTGACCAATTTTGCCACCCTATTAATGCCACCAAATTGCCACCCATAATGTTGACAATTGATGCAAATTTGGTGTGCCAATTTTCAACAATCTCCACTTGAAGATTTGATTGGAACAATCATATCTTCACACCATTCTTTCTACCTTGTACCTTTCATGTTGCTACGTTTCTGACAGGCCACAGGAGGATCGACACCAGGTAAATTTATCAGCATTGATTGCCTTCGTCATGAAATCTGCTATGTTGTCTTTGGTATGGATCTTTTGCATATCTACCGTTCTTTCTTCCACCTTTTCACGAATGAAATGGTATTGAACTCGTATGTGCTTAGTCCTTGAATGAAATGCTGGATTCCTTGCTAGATGCAAGGCGCTTTGACTGTCACAAAACATAGAGACATAATCTTGATTGTGCCCAAGCTCCTCCAATAACATCTTCAACCAAATTGCTTCTTTACTGGCTTGTGTAGCTGCTACATATTCTGCCTCTGTTGTGGACGTAGCCACAACTGACTGCAATTTTGAAACCCAGCTTACAGCTCCACCAGCAACTTTGAACACATATCCTGTAGTAGATTTGCTTTTATCCAAATCCCCTGCATAGTCAGAATCTACATACCCATTGATTAATTAGTTTGATCCTCCGTAACATAATGCAATATTTGAGGTCCCTTTGATGTATCTTAGGATCTTCTTTACAATATTCCAATGCTCTTTGCCTGGATTCGCCATGTACCGACTAACCACTCCCACTGCTTGTGCAATGTCTGGTCTTGTGCATATCATAGCGAACAATTAACTTCCCACTGCTGATGCATACGGTACTCGAGACATCTTCATCCTCTCTTCTTCACTGCTAGGACTCATACTGGAGGATAAATTGAAGTTAATAGGAAGAGGGGTAGAAATTGGCTTACAATCTTGCACGCTAAATCGTGACAAGATTTTCTTCAAGTAATTCTTTTGTGAAAGCCAAATCTTCCTATTATTTCTGTCTCGGTGAATTTGCATCCCTAGAATCTTGTTTACTGATCCCAAGTCCTTCATTTCAAATTCCCTAGCCAGTTGTGCCTTCAATTCTTCAATATGATCTTTGTTGGGTCCTGCAACCAACATGTCATCCACATACAACAGTAATATAACAAAATCGTTATCACCAGACCTCTTGAAATAAGCACAAGGGTCTGCATTAAGTCTGTTGTATCCAAGGCACATAATGAAGGAATCAAATCTCTTATACCAACACCTCGGCACCTGCTTTAGACCGTACAGAGATTTGTTCAACCTGCAAACCAAGTTCTTCTTTTCTTCTTCTTCAAAACCTTCAGGCTAGAGCATATAAATTTATTCTTCAAGATTTCCATGAAGAAAAGCTGTTTTAACATCTAGCTGCTCTAGATGTAAATTCAATGTAGCACACATTGCCAAGACTACTCGAACTGTTGTTAGTCGAACCACAGGAGAAAATATTTCATTGAAATCAATACCTTCTTTTTGAGCATATCCTTTGACCACCAGTCTTGCACGATACCTCTCCACTTGATCATCACCATTTCGCTTGATTTTGAAGACCCATTTGTTACCAATTGGCTTCCTTCCTTGTGGTAGTGGCACAAGGACCAATGTATTATTTTTATGAAGGGCTTCGATTTCTTCTTGCATCACCATCATCCATAATGAAGCATCTGAGCTGTTTATTGCCTCATGGTATGTTGATGGCTCACCGTCCTCTGTTAAAAGGCAGTATGCAATATTACCTTCTATAACATAATCTGAGTGTCAATTGGGACGTCTTCTCACACGATCTGATTGACGAGTTCTTGGAGCTTCAGAACTCTCTGGTTCTTGTTCATCATGTGCTGGTTCTGCTTCATAAGAATCTCCTTCTTCAAACTCTTTTTCCACATGTATCTGAGTAGTCTCTGACTTTTCAGCGCTATCATCGTCTTCTTTTCTTTGTAGTTTATCTTCTACAAAGATAACATCTCTACTAATGATCACTTTGCGGGCAGTGGGATCCCACAAGCGATACCCCTTTACTCCATCAGCATACCCCAAGAATTTGCATTTCCTGGATTTTGGATTCAACTTTGAAATTTCTTGGGAGTTGTACATCACGTACACTATACTTCCAAAGATATGGAGGTTTGAATAATCAGCTGATTTTCCAGTCTACATCTCCATTGGTGTCTTCAGCTCTATTGCAGTTGATGGAGCTCGATTCACCAAATAACAGGCGGTATTGACTGCTTCTGCCCAGAATGATTTTTCTAGGCATGCATCCCTCAACATTGCTCTTGTTCTTTCTAACAAGGTTCTGTTCATCCGCTCTGCCACTCCATTTTGTCGAGGAGTGTTCGCCACTGTGAACTGTCTTTTGATGCATTCTTTCCTGCAAAAGTCATCAAATTCTTCGCTTGTGTATTCTCCTCCATTATCTGTTCTGAAACACTTGATCTTATTTCCAGAATCAAGTTCCACCCGCGCTTTGAAGTTTTTGAAAGTTGAAAACACGTCTGACTTCTTCTTAATAGGGTGCACCCAACATCTCCTGGAGTAGTCATCAATAAATGAGACAAAGTATTTTGCTCCACCTAGGGACGTTACTGGTGCTTGCCATACGTCAGAGTGAACCAATTCTAGAACACTTTTACCTCTAGAATTTGTTGTGTTAAATTTCAACCGGTGCTGCTTACTTGTTATGCAATGCTCACACAAAGGAAGTGATACCTTTGTTAAGCCTGGAAGTAGCTTTTGCTCTACAAGGACTTTCATTCCTTGTTCTGACATGTGTCCAAGTTTCTGATGCCATAGCATTGCCGAATCTGAACTACATGAGGCAACAGAGGCTTCTGCTTCTACCAAAGTCTCTCCCTTCAGCATGTACAAGTTTGCAGCTATATTTTCGCCTTTCAGCACCACAAGCGCTCCACGGAACACCTTCATGATTCCTTTCCGTGTTTCAATCTTGCTTGCATTATTATCCAACAATCCGTAGGATAATAAATTTTTCTTCAGGCCTTTCACGTGCCGCACATCTCGAACAACTTTAATTGTTCCGTCATACATCTTCAATTTGATGGTTCCCACGCCAACGATCTCTAAGGCATGATCATTGCAACTATAAACAGATCCTCTTTGAGACAGGTTCATAATGATGAAATCATTCTCTTATTAAGGTCATGTGATATGTTGCTCCCGAAATCAATGAGCCATATATCTGCAAATCGTTTTCTTCCTTCCACGGTGGTTGACGCTTCACAGCATAGAGCATCTCCATCATCTGAAGTGTTTGCGGTATTGCCTTGTGGATTGGAGTTTTTATTTAGACTCCAACAATCCTTCTTCAAGTGACCCTTCTTTCCACAGTTGTAACACTTTAAATTCTTCTTGCTTCTCGACTTCGATCTACCATGTTTGTGACTGCTGCTTTGGCCACGTTCTGTTGATCTCCCTCTCATCGTTGTCATCATTGTCAACGCTTCTGCTTGTTGTAGATTTACTTGTCTGTCTTCCTTGTTCTTGTGCCGATTTTCTTCTTGTAGAACAGCAGCTGCAACGTCATCGAAGACTAGACTGGTGGCATTACTGTTTGTCAAGTTGATGATGAGTTGATCATATGAATCCGGTAGACTTTGAAGTAGAAGTTCAGCACGTTCTTGTTCTCCTATTTTACAGCTTAAGGATGTAAGCTGAGAAAATAAAGTGTTCAGTGTATTAAGTGCTCCGTCACTGAAGTAGATTCTGGCATACGGAGAGTGTACAATTTTCTCTTAAGGAAAATTTTATTGTGCAACGATGTGGCCTCGTACAGTTTGGTGAGATGATCCCATATCTCCTTAGCTGTCTTATTCTCCTCGATACTTGACAATACTTCATCTGCTAATGCTAGATGAAAGTTTGCCATAGCATTTCCGTCCATTTCGATTCATTTGTTGTCGTATGTGAAATTTACTGGCCTTTCGCTGATAGCTGCTAGACAACCGTCTTTCCTCAGGATGGCCTTCATCTTCAATTTTCACAATGAGAAATTTCTCCCATTAAACTTTTCAATATTAAATTTCGTTGCCATTGCTTTATTTACGGATAGCTCCTACTATTTCACTATCGTGAATAATTCTCTGGAACCTTCAAAGAATGGGTAATAACTTCTTACTTTCTTATTGGAGGATCTACCTTTTGGTGGCAACCACAAAGACAATAAGCAGATATTACACACTCTAATCTAGCTCGGATACCAATTGTTGCGGAAGACGGCTATCGGATAGAACAAAATCGCAACTGATAATTTGAGAAAATAAAAATGAAGATAAAAGAGACACAAAATTTACGTGAAAACCCCCTAAAAATTTAGTGTAAAAACCACGGGCAACGGTAGAAGAATTTCACTATGAGAAAATAGGAATCACAACCTCTCTCGATCTACCAAGGAGAAAACAATGATAATTCTCTCTTGATAAAAAAGAGAAAAACAACTCTCAAGAAACTCTCTAAAATCTCTCTAGTATTGGAAGAAAGCTAAAATGTTTTGGGATGATTTTGAAGCTAAATGAGCCAGGGTATTTATAGTTGAAGCTTTAAGGACTAATTTGTAAATACCCTAAATTACAATGACTAATTGCATAGTTTTACCATCCAAAATTTTCAACAATTTGGTGGCTAAATTTGACCAATTTTATCACCCCATTAATGCCACCAAATTACCACCTATAATGTTGACAATTGATGCAAATTTGGTGTGCCAATTTTCAACAAATGATAGCTTATTAAAATGCATAAATGATAACTAACAAAACTTATTTTCAAGGAGATTGCATCTATCAATTGTTTCTAAACAAAATAATGCAAACTGTACTTAACTTAAAGCATTGAAGATTGTAGTATCACAAATTTATCAAAACCCACAAGCAAAAAATGAAAAATGGTATGCCCTGTACCGATATAAAAATTGAAAATTAAGGTGAGACAACAACAGTAGAATTACAAAATCTGCGGTTGTGAATATTCCCATATGTAATCTGGGATTGGTCCAGTTATATTGCAGCTACGTAATATCCTGCAATTTGAGTCAGCATCATGTGAGCACAATTATAGCAAACGGAAAGTAATACGAGCTTGAATAATTTTGCAAGCCTGGGAATGACTTACAATCTGTACATGTTTTTCATATTTTTTAAGTTTGGAAACTTTGAACCCTCTCCAGGTAAGTCACTGATCCTTCTGAATTATATTGCACCATAAAGAATTGGTAAAAGAGACAAGGCATCCAGTGCAGTAATTATCCAAAGGAATTAAGACAAACTCACAGTTCCACTAAGTTATGCAAGAGTGTTAAGCTCGGAGGAATTGGCCCTTCTAAACCACTACCTTGAATCTCTCTGTCAACAAAGAAATTATAATGATCATCACCAGAAATTTCAACGAGGGGCTCTAGAGAAGTAGTGGAGACAGGAAGATGCTTACAACTTCTCAAGTTGCTTCCAACTTTGAAAAATTTTAGGTATCTTTCCAACGAAATTGTTACTGCTAATCCTACTGCATAAACCTCACATATAAGCAAGGGTACTAACTAAATCTAGCCTAATTTACAGTCTAACTCTATATAGTACAGAAAACACTTACAGTTCTTTTAGATTGGACAGATTAGCAAGGGATGAGGGAAACTTTCCGGTGAGATAGTTAGCATTAAGAGTACTATATTAAAGAAAGAGGCGAAGTTAGGCCAATTATAAAAAATTAGCTGACCCTATTCCCATATGTAATGGGGTAAGGGGAGGTAGGATAGTAGGCTGCCCCCAACGCCAGGTTGAGAGCAGCTTCCGTAGGAGACTTCCGGCAGTCAAAATTATGAATTGCCCACCGTGAGCTCGATCCCACGACCACCGTTAGGCCAATTATACCATACTAAATATTCATGAGAGAAGTAGACTGATAAATTATGCATGGGTATCTAATAGGGAAGAGATATCCAGGTTAATCAATTTCCCAAACTCAGGAGGAATAGTTCCAGAAAACATGTTGTTCTCGAGGCTCCTGAAAATATAATACCGTTAAAAAACATTATAATCCTTTTAAATTTAAGGAAAAAAAGAAAGAAAGAGATGATACCAAAGAAAACATAGGCAACGGAGACATACAAATATTTTAGAGTGGTTATGTTTCCCAAAGAGCCTGGAATCGACCCCGATAAGCGATTCATAGCAACTGACCTGAAATGTGGTCATCCCTATCAGTTGAATGAAAGTAAATTTCTGCTAAACAGGAGGATAAACATGAAATGCGGTTGTAGCTTACACTGTCTCCAACTTCAGAGCAGCCCATTCATGTGGTATTGAACCCTTAAGGTAGTTGAGATAGAGTTCTCTAAAAGCAACATAAAAGAGTTTTAAAATGAATAGAAACTTATTTTCTAGGTAAAGAGTAAAATCATCAATTGTAACCTTTTCCCTTACAAAGTTCTAATAAATGGTAGCTTGACAAGTGAGCGTGGAAAAACACCATCAAGATCCTGCCCTGAAAGATAGCTGTTCAAATGAATAGAAAGCTTTTAGAAGCATGTCCAATTCAAAATTTCCAAATATACGTTTTCTCGGAAAATAGTTAGGAGGGAAATTTCAGTAGCAGAAAAAGTATTCACAGAACCCTTTCGGTTCACTGATAAAGAAACGACAGAATTCATATTATATAGTGAGTGGGATGATTAGTTGGAATAAATTTGTATTAGAAGAAGAAGCTATAGCCATGCAGCCTTCCATCTTGAATGAGGCGCACCCTTCATATAGCTAGAATCAAAGTGGGGAATCCAGGCAAACCATTAGTATAGAAATTAATTGGAAAAATACGATAAGACGATTATGTCTATGGTTAAAAAAATCAGAATAAGCATCATTTTTCTTATGATCAGTAAGGACTTACATGCCATCAATATGGCATTCACCATTGGGGAAGGAGCAATTGCAGGTGACAGTACTGTTGTTAATGGCCTGAGGTACATTTGGCGGCGGCGGTGGAGTAAACCAGATTGACTTATTGTTACAAGGGTTCTTACTGAAATTCCAATCCTTCTTTCCAAGTTCTGCCGCTATCTCACGAAGAGCTTTTACTGCAAATCCAGAAAGAAAGGAAAAAGAAACAACAAATTGAGAAGCCACTGGAGTAAGCTGAGTAGGCGTTGAAACTCATTAAAAGAAAACCAGTGGAATAATCTCTTGGGTGAGTTCTTAAAACATATAAAAACTCAAGTATCATTAACCCAAATGAACCGAATCTGCAGTGTACTGTTCAATAGTGCTCATCTTCAACGCTAACTGAAGCAATAAACTGTACTAACATACCTTCATAATGTGGTGGATAAGTTGGCTCTACTCGAGCTTCAACTTGGTTTGGTTCCATGGAAATGAGCACCAATACTGTATGAACTATGTACCCAAAGAGAATTTTCATGGTTGAAGGACAATTAACAACTCTTCCCATGTTTTTTCTTCGTGAAATGAAGCAATCTTCTTGCACCTAAACTTTTTTTCTCATCAAAAGTTAGCTTTTAGATGCAGCTATCTCTGGATCTTTAAGTTGCCAGCTTTTTAAGGGTATGGGGAGAATGGTACGAAACTCAAAGCATTTATGGTTTTAATATGGAATATGTGAAAATGACTGGTTCGGTCATTTTCAAAGTCGCATTGAACCCAAGACTTATTATTTCCATTTCAGGAAGAACGATGGTTTAATTGTAAAATAGTTGTTCAAAATATATCATTTTTATTTTAAGTATTTAATCTTTTTTATTAATATTTCATCAGGTCATCATTTAAAAAAATCGTTAAAATTTATTTTTTATTGATAAATTTTAAAATTTATGTAATTTTCTTATGCAATTCATCGTTATAAATTAAATCAAAGTGTTTATTTTTTAAAATTAGGATTTTTATTTTATTTTTGAATAGATAAATTTTCGTAATTAAAATAGTATGACTAAATTTTTTGATTTCTCGTAGAAAGACAAGAATAAAAAGTCATAAATCAAATTTGATACCCATGAATAAATATTTTTTAAAATTAATATATTTTAGAGTTGTAATTTTTCAATTTTTTAAGAAGGAAACAAATTTTCACAAATCTTATTTTCTTTTTTTATGTTTATTTCTCTATAAATCAAAAGAATAAAACAATAGAACTCACATAGCACGTACTTATTAAATAATTTTTTAAAATAAATGATTATAAAATAAAATATTAAATATTTAACAAAATTGATTTTAAAATAAAAATATTTAATTTAAATTTATTTTATAATAAAGTCTAGCGAAATATTTAAAAAAAAAGTAATACAAAGTATTCTTTATCTTAGTAATAAAATCTATATTTATAAATATACTTTAAAAAGTAAAAAAAGAAACTATATAACTATATATAAAGTTTATATATTTGTATTATGTGGGTGATAATGAGTCAATTGAATAGTATTATATATCTGTTGTTTATAAATATTAGGGTAAAGTATAGTAATGGTCATCAAACTTTTCTAAAGCTTTCATTTAGTTTCCTCAACTTTTAAAACTTACAATACAGTCCTCCAACATTTAGTTCATTTGCAATATGGTCTCCGACATAACCAGCCATTTGACGCCGTTACACTGCCACATAATACACCGCCATTACCGACCATATTGCAAACGGACTAAATGTTGGAAGATTGTATTACAAGTTTTAAAAGTTAGGAGACCTAAATTAAAGATTTAGAAAATTTTAGTGACCATTACTATACTTTACCCTAAATATTACTAAAAATATTTTTCTTACTATTTTTCAAAATAATATTAAATTAAATTATTTTTTTTAAATTCATAATTATAATATGTATTTTAACAGTATTATTTTAAAATGAAAATTATTTCTTTATGATGGGGTGAAGTTACTGTTTAATATTTCTGTGAGGAGAGAAATTTGTGGCAGCACTCAACCAGTCAATTCAGAAGCAAATGTCACGTGCCTACAGATTAAGAATTGTCCACTACTAAATCTGGAAAATGATATAAATAAACATGGAAAAGGAGATCTGCAATTCAAGTCAAAAAGCGATTTTAAGACTCAAATAAGGGAGATCGGATATGTTCTAAAATTAGCCATAACATTATTTATGGTATAAAGAGAATAAGCTTTTGACACTCTTTTTGTTCTCAAATTCCCTTAAAGAATTGTTCTCAAATTCCATTAAAGAATTGTTTTAGTTTTTCATTTTTGTTAAATTAAATATACTGATGAAAATAATAAATCTAATAAATTAATCACAGTTATTTGATAAATCTAAGCAAATGGATTATTTGGCCCAATAGGGCAAGCGGAAATTTATTTTGGGATCTACGATAAATATTACAGTGTCCATGGAACTCGTCATATCGGAGTGACGAGTTCCATCGGATATTTTTTTAATGGGTCGTGTCACGTGGGTCCTATTGCCCGAATATATTTTATATATCCTAAGGGACTCATCATGCCCGATTAACGAGTCACAATAAAAAATATTTTTTAAATTTTTTAAAAGCATTAAAAATATATTATTTAATACAGAATGAACTCATCACGCCGGTGTGACGAGTTCCAACAGGTATAATTTTGAATTTGTTGACCATTAGATTTACCGTTGCTGAACGGTCAATTTTTTTTAAAAAATCAATAGAACTCGTCAAGTCAGTCTGACGAGTTCCTATGGGTATTTTCAATTTGAAAAAAAAAACTACTCGTTTATAGCCGTTGGGTAGAGTAGTATAAATAGATGTTTGTGTTGGATTGATTTTTCACTTGGAATCAAATATTCTATTAAGAGTAAAAACTTTTGGGGTGAAGATTTTGTATTGAAATGGCCTCAAGAGAAGAAATGTTACGTCTTGATGATGTTCATATTTCATCGACCGAGTTGACTACGGTAAATTTAATTTGTTTTATTTCATTTTAGTTTTGACAAAATTATAGTATTAATAATAATTATTTATGTAATTGTATTAAATAATTTATTTTCAAATTGTAGCAAGAAGAACGAGCCATTCGTCATCGAGGAATGACGAATGAAGAGCCACATGAGCGGATCGTGATATATCTTTCACAATCCAGATTATATGGAGCGACGTTTCTTCGCAGATTTAAGGTGATGTCGGCACTGATGTCGACTTTGATTGAGCGTTGGAGACCCGAAACATATACGTTTCATTTTTCTTGTGGTGAAGTGACGATAACATTGGAAGATGTTGTGTATCAACTTGGTGTTCTGATTAATGGTATGCCATTGGTGCTTCGCAACACTTATTCGCTAAATGTTGATTTTTCAAATTTATTGGGAAAGGAGGCTCCAGCCGATGTCATTGATGGGTTGCGGATACAGATGAATTTAGAGTAGATGAACAATCAACGGAGCAAGAGGTGATATATTCAGCTCAAGCATATCTTATGATGTTGATTGGAAGGATCTTGCTACCGGATAAATCGGGCAATTTGGTGCACACCCAATATCTTCCGATAATGAAGGATTTCGTTGTATGTCGCTATTATAGTTGGGGTTATGCAATTTTGACTTTTTTATATCGTGAACTCTGCAAGGCGACCATAGTCGTTAGAGGGAAAAAACGGATGTAGCGGGTTGTTTAGTTTTGCTCTAATCATGGGCATGGTATCGTCTCCCGTTTTATGACGCCTATTATATCCGCTCCTATGGAGTTTCCTCTCGCCGCAAGGTAAATCTATATATTTAAAGTTTTTATATTTTATAATATTTATTTAAATATTTTGAAAATGACAATAAATAATGTAATTTTTTTAGATGACGACACCGAATAACCGATACAAAGTTGTCAGGTGCAACCAAAGTAGATATTCGAATGAGGATTGATATCGCTGGTAGACATGCGGTAAATTTTAATATTTTTTGCATTAACTTTGAAATTGTAATATTAACTGTTTAATTATACTAACATAATACTTTTGATAGTTTAATTGAATGCCTTATTATGAGTCGGATATCCAACGGTGTCTACCGCCAATGTTCTTTGAAGGAGCGGAGACATGGTGTGCCGTAACACCATTGCTCGATTTCACAATTGTTGAGATCCATGTCGCCGATAGAGTTTTGCGAAAATTTGGGTTTCACCAACCGATAGAAATGTCCATATCTAACACGGACAATTTGCATAAAATAAATGCGCGTGGGAAGCATAGCGAAGATTAGCCGAGGAAGCATGATATATTCATACAACAATGGCAAAATAGACATTTATGATTGCCTAATCGATCTGAGGTTAACCCGAAGAATTTGATTTCAATGTTTCTCCCTACATCCAAAATTATGAAGCAAATGAGAAACCATACTTGACAACATCAGAGGAGTGGTCCGAGTAGGAAACAATGAAGGAAAAATATGGGGAAAAAAATCATTATCTTCATCAACATCTTCATCTTATGCTTCCGCCATTTAATATCCATCGCAAGAAAGTTATGGTGGATATGATGCATATCAACCATCGATGGAGAGTCGAGCGGCGTATAAAGGAAGTAGGTGGGATCAAGTGTCACCTTCACAATAATTTTCCTCAGAACCGGAAGAAAAAGGTCCATGGGATCATCTTCTTCAATACAGACAATCTCAATTTGAGGCGATGACATCAATGATGGCGTCAAATACCTTGAATACTCCATCGTTTTCACCCGAAGATGTAAATCAAAGTGGTGGAGTAATGTTCAGTACACCGAAACCGGAAGAAGACAAAAATGATAATGGTGGACGACCACGATGAAATCAACGAGCACCACGTCATTACTCTTCTACCACTCCTCGACATCGGCAAGAATTGCGCAAATATAAGTAATAAATTGGTTTATATAAGTTTTTGTACTCAATATTTAATTGTATAAAAAATCATTGAAAAGTAATAAATTTGTTTATTCGTTTTCACCCTTAAAAGTGTTTAAAAGTTGTCAATAATTTTATTTTTAATTAAAAGAACTTTAAAAAATATGTAAACAAATAAAATATGTAAACCAAAATGAAAAATCTTTAATTAAAAAATAATTTTAATTAAAATAAAATTTAATAAAAAAATTTCATTCATATTTAGTGTAGTTTATAAAAGTACAGGAGTATTGGTACTCCTTTTATGGGTATTAGTACTTCCTTTATTATTTTTAAATAAAACTAGTCGTTACTAGCCGTTGGGGCTGACGGTATCGATACTACTATGTAAATTAGTATCGGTACCTATTTTGCATTCTGAAAATTTGAGCAAGTTGGTAGTATCGATACTACCTAGATAGTATCAATACTTCTCTTACTTAGGGTATCGGTACCACATGAACATTATCGGTATTGTTCATATAGTATTAATATTGTAAGAATAGTATCAGTACTTCATACTTGAAAATAAGTTTTGTGCTCAAATTCACTTTAAATGTACTTTGAATTATTTTTTAAAACTTTTGAAGACTTTGAAAAAAATTCAATTAATTCTAAAAACATTTTTCCTTAATTTGTTATATCAAAATATTACAAAACATGGTTTAACATAAAACAAGTTAAAAAATATAGTTACATTAAAAAAAATACATAGTTACAATACATAATATTTTTTAATGCCTATTTTAGCGTCCAACTCGATATTTTGGAAGATGTAGACAATGTTTTCTGTTATGACCTTCACCTCTGCAGTGACCATAAAGTTTGGGTAGATCTGGCTCTCTTTGCGGATCATCCATATCGGTATGAATTCGGCTATATTCAGGCCGACACCATAATTTCCTATGCAATTGAGGATTTGGCAACCATTCCTCAGAAATTGTTCATGTAGGCCAGTATGCTTCATTTGGGAGGTACTTGAACTCACAACTGTAAATGTTGCATATAGTGTGCAAGCTATAACACTCATCAACATATAAGTATGGGTCAACATTGATGTGCATACATGCAGCAACAACGTGTGCACATGGGAACCTAAAAGCTTGAAATCAACCACAATTACACTATCTTCTATTCAGATTACCAATGTATGTTGCAGAATTACCTCCCTTATGTGGTCGAACTAGTGCTTGGACAACAAAATTAGAATCAAGTCTGGCAAAATTATGGACAAAATTGATGTCGCATGTGTTTGATTCTTTTACATTGCCTTCTCTAAATTTGGAGCTCAATTTCTCCCATCGTTGATCATGGCATCAATTTGTACACTTTTGTCTGCCCATAATTTATCCAACCTAAAGTAAGTCTCCCTAACAATACTTGCTATCGGGAGATGTTGAGTCCCCTTCAGCACCGAGTTGATACATTCAACAAGGTTGGTAGTCAAATGGTCGTAACGTCGACCCTCAACATCATGTGCTTGTGACCATCTCTCCCTAGGAATTTCAGCTGCAAATTCATACACATCATTTCCGTATCTTCTCAAATTTTCAAGCTGTGCACGGACATTTGATTGGGGTAAAGCATACCCTAAAAAGCAATAAATTAAATGTTATTGATAAATAAAATAAATAAATGAAGAAGAAATAATTAATGATAAATGATATAATATTTACACATGTTGATAATCTCCGTTTTGATCTTTTTCTGCTTAAACCTCTTAATTGCATTCGATGCAATATGATGTATAAAATAGGCAGGATATGCGTGCGGAGGCATCCATCTATTTTTGGGTCTATAAATTGTGCTTAACAACCCAGGTGACCGATCTGATATCATGTAAACTTCATCTTGAGTGGCAACATGGGAACACAAGTTGGAGAGAAAGAAATTTCAAGTTTCCTCCGATTCATTTTTAACAATGGCGAAAGCAATGGGGAAAATATTTATGTCTCCATCTTGTGCAACAGCTATCATCAAGACGTGTCTATAGAGCCCATACAGAAAAGTATCATCGACTTGAATCATTTGTTTCCAAAATCTAAACCCTTTGATAGCTGACTTAAATGCCCAGAACAAGCCACCAAAAATTCTCTTCCCGGGGATAACATCTCCCTCAAACATGACTGCAAGATGAGTATAGTATCTAACAATGGTTCCAGGGATGAAAATTTTTATTGCTTGCAGCAGACATGGTAGCTCATTATATGACTTATCTCAATCACCATACAACAAGGTCATTGCTTTCTGTTTAGCCATCCATGCCATGTAATAAGTCGGAATATAACCAAATCTATTCCGAATGGATGCCACTAACATAGAAATGGACACTCTTGGATTTTTTTCCACCAACAACTTCACATAAGAGCATATCCGAATCTAAATGTTTATGGTCTTGTGTCAATGAGGTCATTGTACATGCGTGTTGTACTTTGAACCTTGTGACTTCCCACAACATCTTCTGTTGTAGGTATGATACTTGTATCCTCCATTTACAACCAATATACACTGTACGAAATAATTCTTTTGATCTGACTCCGCCACATAGAATTGAAGATGAGCTTTGATGCAATACTCCTTGATTGCTAGTTGTGCCTCTTTTTTGTTTCAAACTGAGACTCAATGGCCAAATCAGATAACCGCTCGTCTGAAGAACCTTAGTGGGCAGCACATAATTCTGGCATATCATATATTTGAGGATTCTGTATAGCATCGTAGTTAATGTCATGCATTGCAACTGCATGATGATACATGGGTAAATCATTGCGAGGCATTTCAGGTTTAGTGTATGTTTTGCCCAAACATTTGGAGCATTATGTAATCCTTGACATCTTGAAAGAGCTTCCTTCCATACATCAGCCTCAACATCCACACCTTGTCCCTATGAAGCATCCTCAAAAACATCAGACTCATCAACTAATGGTGTGTCGTCGTCATCTACCAATGGAATAATATATTCATCATCTTCGCTAAATTCAGCAAGACTTTCACCGAACCGTCCAACAAAGTTATCATCACCATCACTTGTATGTGGTTCAGAAGGGTCTGATTCTTCTGTTCTTCGAGCTGGTACTGATGAAGTCGGAATATAAGTTGTATTCGTGGTTTCGACGTACATCTCCACCATATTGTTATTTGATGATTGATGAAGTCTAACCATAACAGTAACATCGTCGTCATCATCAAGCTGAACTTTTCCATATGTCATTGGATTTGAGATCATGTGCCAATAACTTAAACATGAAACATAAGCCTCAAGTTTTTTCTCAATTTTTGCTTCATTTGGCGATGAGATACATCCACAAGGAGCATCATATTGATGAGCCAGTGTGACTTAAACACAACACCAATATCAGTTTGTAGAATTTTGCCATTATAATGGACAAATGTGAAGAAATTGTTGCTCATTGTTTGAAATGTATTTGGTTAGAAGAAAGGAGTTTGTTGTGTAAGAGATTGAAGATGAAAGGGGTGTGTTGTGTTGTGTGTGTAAGAGATGAAAGGAGTGTGTTGTG